GCTAGAGGCAAGATACAAAATCCTAATGAACCCTTAGAAATCCAGGTATTGATCTGTCAACATGTAAGCTCAATTAGTCCTTTTAGAACAAAATACCTCATAAGGTGACAAGAAACTAGTTAGGGGCCTGGGGTATGAAAAGAATAAAACCAATCACTTCATACAGCTTACTGCTAGGTGCAATCATATCACAATGTGGGATCTTATGAGGATTAAATAAAGATGCATGTTGAACACCTATCTACTTAGTCCAGGAACTGGTTCATAACTAGTACTCAGCAAATACTGGTTCTTCCCCAATTCTTTAAGAACTCAGGCTTATAAGTCAAAGATTATCTGATGGTTTGAAAAAGCAAAATAAAAGAAGAACCTTACATTGCAGTATATACATTACATCTTAAAAGAACTTAGTGTTATAAAGGAGCTGATAGGATCATGAAAATGAAAAACAGATACTAAAAACATTTCTGAATGGCCCATCCTTCATGGTCATTTACAACTTTCATGTTTTGTAAAGTTGTCTTTAGGGATGAGTTTCGGCAAGAAATAGGCCAAATGCAAACTAATTCCATTTGAAAGTAAATCCTTAACATGCTTTTCTGCGGCAAGCGAATGGTTTCTCTCATAAAACCTTCACTGGATATACCGAAAGCTTTTGGCAATTCTAGTTTTCAAACAAACTAGTAACAAAATTATAAAGCTAATTTTTTTCAATAGAATTATTAAGTACAAGGAGTTCAATAAATCATTTGCTTTCCAAGGAAAAAAATTACTTTTTAACAACATAATATTTCTTCCAGTTCTAAGAAAATGAACCTTATTTATTTGCAAACTGAAAACTGTAATACTATAGTGAAATCTTTTTATGGCTCAAGAATGATCTGTTTAAGAAATAAAGGTATACAGAAAGAACAAAAGCTGGCCTGGTAGATAGAGCACAGCTGTAATCCCAGTTGCTGGGGAGGCTGAGGCAGGAGGATAATGAGTTTGAGGATAGCCTAGACTACATAGTGAAACTCTGTTTCAAAAGAAGGGGGAGAGGAAGAAAGAACAAGACTTGATTTAAGCAGTCTTCAGATCAAGTATTAGTGTTGCCATTGCTGTTTGCGCTATCACTTCAGGAAGTTACTTCTCAGGAACTTGGCTTCTAAGTCTTTTCAACTCTAAAAATGATAGGAGTTTTTATTATATCTGATACTGTCTTCAGTCTCTCTCATATTTATACCATATTTGCATCCACTTAAGTATGTGTATATATATATACGCACATACGTGTAACCTACACTTTAGTAATACAAACATATTTCTATGTACTGTAGTGACTTAAGCCCCATTAAGAGACAAAGAGAACTAATGTGAGAATGGACATGTGTGTGAGCGTGTGTGTGTGTAGGGGGTTCTGACCCCACACATTATTCTCAGTAGTTAGGGCATTTACACAGCCTCATGACACCTGAATTAACGAAGTAAGCCTTTAAACCCTTACAATGAAACATTAAAATTCAATGTGGCTATAATCTCTTCCTTACAAAACATGGGCCCAAAGAATCAGGCTTCAAGTAGTGTTTAAAAAAAAAAAGGCGAAAGGTATTATTTTCAGCACCCAGCTTTTCCATATGACCACATTTAAAAGACACGCACACACACACACACACACAAACACACACACACACAAATGAAAACTCACAAGCCCATTGTAATACACTGTACCACTTCTGAATGCAACACTTAGCTCAGGCTTACTATCCTGACAAATAAAGGAAAGCACTTTATGAAGCCAATTTAATTGGGAGGTGACAGAAAACATACAGCCATTTTCTTTAGCCTTATCACTGAATTGGCTTCAGCTCCAATCTCTGGCAAATCCCACTCAACAGAAGAAATTAACCAGGTCAGCAGAACAGGTGCTACGTTGTGTCTGTCAAGGGCCTGGCATCACCACAATTACTTGCACACAATGAAGCAGTAATCTTTACAGATCATCTCTCCCAAGGAGCATACTGGGGAGGGGGAGGAAAACTAAAGGGAGGTGGGAATGAGGGGGGAGTGAGAAGAAGAGGAGGAATAGGAAGCAAAGAGAAAAGGCAAGAAAAGAAAATAAATGTGCAGCTGCCTAGGAGCTCAGCAGATGTCGGGATGTGATGTACGAGGCTAGGATAAGCTGTCGTAGCCTGCTGCCAAAGAGTGGTAAGTGATTAAAGCCTGCACAGTCTAAGTACCATATTTAGAATCTGTGGGGTTTCAAGGATTGCACCCATTCCTTGCTGTGCTGCCAGATGTTGGCAACTGGTCTAGTTCCTACTGACTGTGCATGGACGGCAGCAGTTGGTACAGCGGCAAAGCAATCTGGAGTGCTTCGAGAGATGCTGTACATTAACAAGTGTCACCCATCATTCACCTTTACAGAAGGCTGAAACAACTCCAATTTGCTGCCACTTCCCTCTTGGGAAACAGCCAAGATAAAGTTGCGCCTGGCAGCCCCATTTGTTTCACTCAGGTGTTTCAGCTGCCTTGCTGACCTCTATTAGTTTAAGTTTTAATTTAGATTAACCTCAGCACCCCAATTAACCAGCAAGGGGAAAAGTTAAGATGTGACTGGTCATAACTCTGAAATCACAATTTATCGAAGTTAAAATTATTAATTGTGAAGAAGGGCCAATCAAGTAATGCTATTTCTTTTTAAACAGATTTCCAGGCGAAAAAAAAAATAAAGAAACCTTTCAGATTAAGGCTTGCCAGTAGAAACAACTTCTCCCCGGTAATTTCAGTTTATTTTATTAAGCCTGTTTAATTTATGATGCACCTTCTGTCAAACAATGCACACTTCAATTAATGATAACTGGAACATTTTTGATTGTCTCCTGTGATCTCACACACAATTATACAGCATTAATATCCCATATCAGGTACTTCCTTAGACATTCCAGAACAAAACAGAGTTTCCTATTCTTCTGACAAATAGACATAAAAAGAGAGGAACAGGGGAAAAAAATCGGGACCCCTGACTGGGAATAGCTGAGGCCACACCAATCCTCTTTCCTATACCCTCTAATCATTATTTTTCAGACTCACTTATGGTTATTAATTTTATTGAATATTATAGAATGAATAAAAAGAGTCTCTTGCTCTTTATAGGGCAAAATGAGAGATATTCCCAGTACACAAACATCATTTCTAGTTATACAAGTAATTTTCTAATAAGTTTCTTTGTTCATACTGATATGTAAGGAGTGTCCAAAATATATCTTTAAATATTAAAAATTTATTATAGTAAAAGATACATTGCCATTAATCTCCCGTAAAATATTACTCCTTGCTTTAAACACACTCATCCCATCTTTCTTGCCACTTTCTGAATCAGTTCTGAAAGTCCTCTTTCATGAATGTCTTTATGAGGTGTGATCAAAAATATGTTCAATGCTGCTTCCGAGTGCCATCCAACAGAAAGGCAGGCTCCTAAAAACATTACTGTGTGTCCTCACCCACCTCATTCACCAGATCTGGCACCATGTGACTTCCTTCTGGCTCTTCCCAAAGTCAAAATGACCATGAAAAGTAAACATTTTGAGTCAATTCAGGGCAATGAGGCTGCCATCATGTCTTCAGTGCAACTAAAGACAATCACAGAAGAGTATTTTCAGAACTGGTTTCGAAAGCGACCGGTTAAGTGTATTGAGGGGGTGTATTTTGAGGGGGATTAATGGCAAAGTGTCTTTTACTGTAATAATTTAAAAAAACGTAAACATGAACTGTATTTTTTGACCACACCATGTACAAAGTATAGCCATCATGGCTAAACCTTCAAACAGTTCCAAATTCTCTAGCAAAAGTTAACACTCAAAATTCAGCAAAGAAAAAAAATTTTATCTTAATAAACAATGGCTCAATAAAAGTCAGTGTATCACTTCTGCACAGTATCCTTAGTTTCCACTGTACACTAAAGGATAAGCCTAAAGTGTTTCATTAATAAGTACGGTATAACAAGTGACTCAGGTATACAGAAAGTTACTTTAGCTCAAATATACCAGGCATGGTGGCATATGCCTGTAATCCCAGCACTTTGGGAGGCTGAAGAATCCAAGCTCAAGACCAGCTTGGAGAACTTAGCAAGAATCTGTCTTAGAATTTAAAAAGGACTAGAGATGTAGCTCAGTGCAAAATTCCTGGGTTCAATCCCCAGACCCCCACACCCCTAAAGCTCAAACAGGATCATGCCAGCAGATAATGTCAGGCAAAGAACTAGGGGGACATTCATGGAGAGATATTCAGAAGTGGACTATATTTCAACATCTATCAAATCTTTCTGTCTTTAAAGCATTATTACAATCAATAGTAGTAGCCACTCTCAATATACAGACTTGACTGATTTGAACAGGCACAAAAACAAGAGACTTAATAGGTTATAGAACCAGAGGTGTAATTCTAGAATGCTAGAATCCTAGCCCTTTAGCACCATGTCCTACTCTGACAATAATGGAACAGACAGGTGTGGTGGGACATGCCTGTAATCCCAGCACTTGGGAGGCTGAGGCAGGAGGATTGCATGAGTTTGAGCCCAACCTGTGCTACATAGTGAGTTCAAGATCAGCCTGAACTATACACTGAGACTCTCTCAAAAAACAAACGAACAAAAATTGATAGTAATGGAGCAAGAAACCAAATAACCAACACCATGTCCTATATTAACATTATCAAAAATGGCTATCTGATAAGAAGTCACATGATTCAAAGAAGCTGGAAATGTCTTAAAGACAATTTACACTCCAGCAACAATGTGCCATGGCCATAGCTGTTTTCATTTCAAAAGGAAAACATAAAATAGAAGAAAAGCAACAATCCAGAATAACACTGTAAGACAATTCTGAATGCAGGAATTCCAACCCTTCTCTTAACAATCTTCCAAAATAAGTAAACTGTTATCTTTTGTTCAGAGAACTCTATCAGCTATTTTAAAATGCTAAAAATCTGACTGTATTAGAAAAAGACTATAAAAATCACACCTGATGGTAAAAGTCATCATCATCAAAGATTTCTTCATCCAAGTCTTTCAAATGAGCATTGGCAGGGACTTGCGGAAGGATCTCCTAGATTAGCGAGAAGCAAAGAATGGATCTCAATAAGGTTATCAAAGTAACATAGCTACTTTAAATAATATATCTAACAGTGAAAGCACTATTTTCCTTAAGATATAAAAAGCTCTTAGAAATCAAAGCTGGGCATGGGGGCACATGCCTATATTCCCAGCATGAGAGAGGCTGAGGCAGGAGAATTTCAAGTTTGAGTCCCACCTAAACAACTGAGGGAGACTCTGTCTCAAAAAAAAAAAAAAAAAAAAAGGCTAAGGATGTAGCTCAGTGGTACAGTGCATCTGGGTTCAACTACATGTTTAGTCTCACTATAATTAAATCCATGCAAAATATACCTTTTCACCTCTAAGACTGGTGATACTGTACTGAGGACTACAGAATACAGCTAGAGGGATTATAAATTAATGCAGCCTTTTTCGAGCTAACAACTATTAGGATTTAGTGCATTTTCTTTGATTTAACATCTTCAGTTTAAGAAATCTACCCATATGTTCATATAAACACACATCTATAAATGTTCAGCAATGTTTACTATGGTGTTGTTTCTTAAAATGGAGACAAATTATCCAGTGTTTAAATAAACCGCAGCATCCATCCATCCGTCCAATGGAATCCTCTGCAGGCATTTGGAAAAACAAGGTGGATCTCACTATAATGATATGAAAATATCATATACTTACTTAAGTCATAAGATTTTAAATGCAGTTGTAGTATTTTATATATTTATATATGCACACATCTATAGCTATTTTATTTAGTAAAAAGAAAAGATAACCATATTTTGGTGTAAGTATATGTTATATGCATAAAGCCTGTCACAACTATTATCATCTGAGAGGCAGAATTTTCAGAAAAGGAGGAATTCTATTTTAAATTCTTATGAATGTAAAAGGAATTAAGTATACATTTCTTTTATAATTAAAAAAAAATTTCCTTTAAACAAAATAATTTGACTATTCTACTTCTGGATCCTTTTCGGAAGTATGTAACCAGCAAACATTTAAGCCAAAATACATACTTGATTCACTACTAACATTCCTAAGAGTAGCTATAAAACTAAATCTTAGCCAGATCTGATGGCACAGGCCTATAACCCTGTACTCAGGAGGCTGAGGGAGGAGGACTGCTGTGAATTCAAGGTGAGCCTGGGTTACATAGTGAGTTCAAGGCCAGCCCGAACTACATAGTGAGACCCTGACTCGAAAAACCAAAAGAAACAAACCAAAAACTAAAATCTTAAGGGCGGGATGGGGGATGGGGGGGTGTAGATCAGTGGTCGAGTGCTTGCCTGGCATGTATACCCCCCCCAGCTTGATCTCCACCACAAAACAAAAAAACAAAACAAAACAAAAAATTAAATCTTAAAAAGTGAATTACAAACGTTTCCCCTACAAGACTCTTGTATCACACAAGACTAAAACAACATAAACAATCAACAAAGCTCCATTTAAAAAAAAATCCCCCTATATATGCTCTTAGTTTCTTAACAACCCAGTAAAGTAGTACTCACATCTCCTATGGAGAGGTAATGCCTACAGGTTCTTCATTTATTAGCCTGAAAGAAACTGCTCCCCACACTCCCCATGCATCCCAGAGTTCTTACCGGTTCTCCTGGAAAACTCTCTGGGACAGGCGGAGCTACTGGTTCAGGTTTGCCAAGAACTCGGTAGACAGAGCGCTTGGTCTGTGTCCTTCGAAGTAATCTTTCTTTGTCCATCAAAATGTGATCAATCTGAGTCAAGATTGAGTGTTCAAAGGCACCAAAACCCTGCAACATTAACCAGTGTCAGATAATACAGCAAGTCAACGCTGAAGGCAGCTACACTGGCTTCTCTATCTTTCCTTGTCAGCAGAGAAACAGACCTTTTCAGAAGGGACTTTCTGCTAAGGACTGAGTTTGTAAGTGGCTGTAATAGTTCTCATGGAAAAAAACTGGGTCTTAAGCAGATCATATCACTTTCCTGTACCTACGGATCAAATTCTGGTCCTTTAATTACCAAATTGTTTTAAAATCTATTTCTTTAAAGTATTTTATATTTTCAACAGTTAAAGCTTACAAGGCTACAGTATTTCAAGAATAAAACATTCTTTCTAATAAACTTAAAAATCCCAAGTCTGAATAATACGACCCAAATGGCAGAGGTTCTGTAAATTTTGCGGCAGAAATGACTGATCACTATTCCACCACAACAACATCCCTACAAATGAGCTACAGTTCCACTTTCTCAATGTCTTACAGCTACTCCAGGTTGTTACAACCTACACACACACACACACACACACACACACACACACACACAACTTACCTTGCCCAGCTTTCCAGAAGCCAGTTTCGTTTTGTCATGCCACTTCTGCAGCATGCGGTTCCTATAGACGGTAAAGTCAGCAAAGCGCTTTGCCATGAAGCTAGGGTAGGCATCCATCTCCAGCTTCCTCTTTGGTGGCGCCCTCCTCTTCTGCTTTTTATCTACTGGTTCATCATCTTCACTAGAAATCTCCTCACTAAAAAACCAGTAAGAGCACTGAGTCCAATGTAAGTAAACATTACTTGGATAAAAAACTACCCTCACAGGAAGTATTTAGGCCTTATCCTATCTACATTTTAAATAACACCACAGATAGAAGGATGACTTTTTGCAGGGGGGCTGGAAGAGAATGTTCATGAAGTCAGTCAAAAACTCATGTAACTTTTCAAATAAATATGAAGCACTTGAGTTTCAAAATATTTTTTAAAAGGTAAGCAAACTAAAAATAAATGAGGTTGTAAAAACATTATTAGAAATGCCTATGAACCAAGCCTGCCCTGTTACAGGAGGGTCTTTAAAAATTAAACACATAATCATATTTCTATGACCTTAATCCCCAAATCAATAAGAGAAATGTGTCTCTGTAACAACTATTCAGGAAAGGTGAATAATATTAGCTGAACCAAATGAAGAGAAGCTGAATATGAAGAAAATTCAAAGGGGTAGACACCCAAATCAGCACTCAACTGCACTACAGTAATAGCACTCTGAATCCACAGGGTCAATAAACTGTGGATCAAAAATATTCAGGAAAAAAAAATTGTGTCTACACCCAAACATGTTTTAAACACATGTTTTCTTGCCATTTTCCCCTAAACCATATAGTATAACAACTATTTATACAGCACTTATATCAGGTACTATAAGGAATCTAGAGATGATTTAGAGTATATGAGAGGATATGTGTGGTTATATGCAAATACTATGCTATTTTACATAAGAGACTTGATAGCATCCATGAGGCTCTGGGTATCATCCCTAGAACTGTGGGGTAGGTGGCAGGCAGACAGACAGACAATGGCTTGAGCATCTGGAGATTTTGGTATCCATGTAGGGTCCTGAAATTAATTTCCATGGATACCTAGGGTTGGCTATACATGTAACTGCCATGAGAATGTAACACAACCCCACTATATAGCAAGTTGTACTCACTGGATTACTGAGCCCACATACAGTATCCACATACTTAATAAATATAAGCTTGGGGTGGGGATTTAGCTCAGTTCTGCTGCCTGCCTTGCAAACACAAGGTCCTGAGTTCGATCCCCGGTACCAATGAATGAATGAATGAATGTAAGCTTCCTTTCTGTCCTTTCAACTAGTTCAGTAGAAAACAACCAACCAAAAGACAACCCCCCCCAAAAAAAGACAAACCCAGAGGAAAAAAGCAGGTGCCATACATAAAGCAGGCTAAAACAAAGAAGGGAAAACCTTCATCAAATGCAGCAACTTCAGGAAAGAAAAAACATTACTTTGCCATTGTTTTCTGAAATCTTTCCACCCTTCAAAATAACTCCTTCCTTCATTGAAGACAGTATGACCAGTGATTCCATGGTGTGAACACAAAGCACCTCATAAACATTAAGCACTAACATATAAAATAAGCTTCTTATCTCCTAATTTCAACAGACCTAAGGGAAGGCAAATCTTTTTCCTAACTCCACAAAGAGAATCAGGCACAACTAAAGATAAAAATCCAAAATCAAATTCCAAAGTTATATGCCTCTTGACCACCACTTAATTGTAAGAGACTCTTTTGGGGGGTGGGGTGGGGGGGAAGACTAGGGATTGAAACCAGGGCCTTGCACACACTAGGACTGAACTACATCCCCATCTCTTTTCAAATTTTGAGATCAAGCCTCACTACACTACATTGCCCTGGCTGGTTTCAAATTTGTGAGCTTCCTGCCTTAGCCGTCCAAGTACCTGGAATTACAGACACGTGACACCATGTTTAGTTATGATACTCTATTTTATTAAAACCAAGTCTGATATCTACCTGAGAAAGACACCTTTCACATAAGAGATGGGAAACTATCTAGATGAAAAGAAAACAGCAACTCTACAGTTCCATTCCATCCTTACCTTTCCTCTTTTGGCTTCGTTGTATCTACTAGATATCTAGTGTCTGGATACTGGAAAAGCAACTCTTCCTGAAGATCTACCAATGACCTCAACAATGCTTTAAGTGCCTTGTGACCTGGGAAGTAAATAAGACCCAGAGAAGAGACAATTAATCACCTATAATTCTCCAAAGTGGGTGACCCCTGTAACACATGTCTCCTGAGCAGTTCTTGGCAGCAGGGAGTACATGGGGAGACAACACGGCACACTCAGAATTCGGAAATACACAATTCCCAATGGAAATAATAACTGTGCCTACCCCACAGGGTTGTTGCAAGAAACAAGCAAGATGGTATGTGTCTATATTTATTTTTTTGGTACTGGGGATCGAACTTGGACTTTGCACTTGTGAGGCAGGTGGCGGAACCACTGAGCTAATCCCCAGCCCACAAGGTAATATGTGAAAGGTGCTTTGAAAAGTGTCTGCAGAGAGTAAAACTTCAATAAATTGTCAGTTCTTAAATTTAAGTGTGACAAACTCCCTCCTGCCTGTCATTGTAACATTAAACTGTACATTTTTACAGGTTACCCACTAATCTCTTGGATTTGGCTAATTCCTTAGGCAAATTCCACTTCTCCTAAAGAGCATAACTCAGGATTGGATTTCTCCTTCCTCCTCCCTTTCCACTAGATCTTATTTGCCTCTGATGTGAGTGGCCAATCATTCACTCAATCTCTCACACACTTCATGGGCCAGGGATTCAGCTTAGGGCTGGGGATTTAGCTCAGTGGTTCTGGCAACTGCCTCACAAGTGCATGGTCCTGAGATCAATCCCCAGTACCAAAAAACAAACACACACAATTCGTATGGCAAGTTCCTGTTCACATGTGAAAATCCAAGTTACTGGTTATCCAAGTTAATATTATGGATACATATTGATTCATATTAATATATGACCTGCATATAAAAATGTGTACTTGGAGACCATGCTTTCACCTGCTTCTCATATCCAACAGGCCACATTTGCAACATAGCTGGTCAGGATTAGGTACAAAGTCTATGGCTAAGAACTTTCAGAATAAAAACTGGTCCTGTGAAAACTGAACTCTTGCCTTCTCTATCAGAATAGTCCTACTAAAGAGGTTAACCAGACACTGAAAATCATCATTTATGAGTTGAGAGCACTCAGACTCCTCACCTATAATCAAACTTTCACATTTCCAGCAACTGCCAGAAAATCTTCACATGGATGCTCTATTACACCTTCAAGCGTACCATGTCAGAAACTGAAAACTTTTTTCTTCCTACTTAATACTTTTCGCTTGTCTCCATTTCTGTTTTATGCTTAATGTGCTTTCATAGGAGACTACTAACATTTGGATGCCTTTACCCCACACATTTAATTATTGCTAAACTGTTTTGATTCATATTATTATTTTAATAATTGTCCATTCATCTCAGGCCATGCTTCTATCACTTCTTCCCTCCTTAAGTAACTGTAATCTCAAGAGCACCCCTTACATTCATTTTTATTTTATATTCCATACTAACTTTAGCCTGCACTAGCCTTGGCCCACACAAAACCTTTCAAAATGATTTGTAAGTCTTTCTTTGCCATTTCTGCTTCTACCCTACCCACCTTGAGCAGCCTATTCTTACCAGATTGGGGCACCAGCACGAGTTAGGCTCTCAATGTTGTGTCATAGAATTCTACTGCAATACAAGGCTGAGTGCTGACCTGAGAAAATCTTTTCTGACTGGTCAGAAGGAATCCCAAACCCAACTACTTTGCCTACTTTTTAATAATCTGCATGTAAAACCATATGACTATAACTTCTTTATTTTTCAAAAAAGACCCTTAGTCACATCTTTTCTAAATTTTATACTCTAATCATTTTATAATGCATATCCCTATCATTTGGGAGGATTTATAATACATAAATACTACCTTAAAAATCCAAAATGCCTTGTGTTCCAAACCAAAATTCTCAACCTGCTGCTCTCAATCTTAAATAGGAGGGGAACCACTTTCTACCAAATATGGAGATTAAATTTCTCATAAAGAAAAATATAATACAGAATTATTCTTCTGTCAGCTTTTAGAAAAGAGATTAAATATAAACCAAATGAAGGTAGTCAAGAAGAAAAAAGAATATAAAGATATAACAACTTTAAAGACAAGAATTATTTAGTCTAAATGTGGTACATCTGTAAACAGTACAAAATTATGTAAATATATGTAAATTTTTCAAAGGAGGGAGGAGAGCAGAGACTACAAATTATAACTACAAATGTTACCATAAATGACTATTTATTTATTTATTTATTTTGGTATGGGGAATGAACTTGGGACCTTGTGAAATGACTAATTTTTTAAAAGCTAGGATTTTAAAACAGATATCCCTTAGTTACTAAAGTTCTGAAAGTATATGTTATGATATGAGCCTTAATAAGAAAATGGAAAAAGATACTAATACTTTTGAAGGAAGCCCATGTAAATTCAAAAATCTCATTTCACTGAAATTCTACATAAATATTAACCACTGTTTCTACCTCTTTTCCTAGAAATATATTTTTTTGGATGGGGGTGGGATGATTTCTGGGTGGGATGGGGATGCTGCTGGCAGTCAAATGGGCAAGCTGTCTACTCCTGAGCTACATCACCAGCCTAAATGGCTGTATCTCAAGAGACACACAGCCTATGTTTTCTACAGTGAAGTCACAAAGAGTTTTAAAGATTTCTCACACCAAATCTTGAAAATATTAGGCTAAGTGAAATAACCTAGTTGTACATTAGGAAAAATACTGTATATATCCACTTATACATAGTACCTAAAATAAACTCGTACGACAGAGGGCTGAGGATGTAACCTGGTGGTAGAGCACTTTCTTAGCACACATGAGGTCCTGGGTTCAATCTCCAGCACCACAAAACAACAACAGCAACAACAACAGAGACAGAAAAAAAGAATAGTTGTTACTAGGAGCAAGTGAAGAGGGAGAGTGAGGAATTACTATTTAATAAGTACACAGTTTGAGATGATAAAAAATTCTGGAGATGGCTGTATATAATATAAATGTATTTAATGACACTTAACTGTTATTAAATGCATCCTAGTTCATCTGGGTATAACCTCCCCCAAAAGATAATCTGTATTTCTTAAAATTAAACCTCTTCAAATAAGAAAAAAGCAGTGGAATATTATTCAGATTTAAAGAGAAAGGAAATTCTGACACATGCTTCAATATGGATTAACATTGAGGACATTAAACTAAATGAAATAAATCATTATGAAATGACAAATAGTGTATAATTCCACTTATATAAGATACCCACAGTCATCAAATAGAGACAGAAAGTAGATGGTGCTTGCAAGTGGCTGAGGGAGATGAGGAAACGGAATCATTTAACAGGGACAGTCTTTCAGTTTTGCCAAATGAAAAGCTCTAGAGATTGGTTGCACAACAAATGGAAATATACTTAATATTACTAAACCAATTGTACACTTAAAATGGTAACAACTGTTAAGTTTTTTGCTGTATTATTTATTTTACTTTATTTTATTTTATTTTATTTTGGTACCAGGGATTGAACTCGGGTCCTTATGCTTGTGAGGCAAGCAGCGGAACCACTGAGCTAAATCCCCGGCCCCTCTGTTGTATGTTTTTAAACACACATGCACAATCTTAAAAGGACAGGAAGAGCAAAGAGCCTGTCCCTTCCTTCCTCTAAGTACCATGTACCCACAATTTGAAACATGAAATCAAGAAACACACACACACACACACACACACACACACAAAGAACCGCACAGGGAAGAAGCTGCAATGAAGTCTATAATGTTTACAGCTGCTTGTCAATTCGACGCAAACACGTAGCATACCCAAGAACCGAGAAACCATCCAATGAAAGACAACTTTTAGGCCGGGGGTTTAGCTCAGTGGCCCTGTGCCTGCCTTGTAAGTACAAGGTCCTGAGTTTAATCCCCAGTACCAAAAAAAAAAAAAAAACCCAAAAAATAAATAAATGAAAGACTACAACTTTTAAGAGCCACTTTCAAGTAGCTACACAAGCCTTTTTATTTCATTCAAGTCAAGTTTTTAAAAATCCACTGCAGATATATTAGGCAGCATATCAATCCAACAAGAAAGTAGAAAGCTGGTATCAGTAAATCAAAGTGTGCTTTTCTGTTAATACTCTCTCATAGGTTCTCATTTTATACACCCCTTCACCCACTGAGAAAGTAACCCTCGAGTATTTAAGCTCCCTTCAGGGACAGCACCACCATGCATCAAAGTGTCAAGAGGCCTACCAGAGATGAAATCTGCAATTCTGTGCTTCTAACTACTACCAAAAAAAGTTTATTAACGTAAATGTCACCAGTAGCCCAACACATAGGAACTCCCCTTGAAGAGATTTAGAAGACATGGGGCCAGGAATTTAGCTCAGTGGTTCCACTGCCTGGTCCCAAGTTCGATCCCCGCTACAAAAATAAATAAATAAATAAAAATTATAGAAGACAGAACTCAATTCTTGTTCCACATAAAATATGAGAGACAATAGGGCAATCCTTTGTTGGAGGTGGGAGGCATCCTCAACGCCACAGTTGACAAGTTGAGATTCTCTCAGAGGCTCAAATCCAACACTAAATTTGTCCCAGCCAAAACAAAGAAACAAAAAAAACCCTCTTTATTATTCATATAGAACTGAATTCTATTTGTTCAACTCTATGAATAATAAATAGATTGAAATCAACAGTTTCTAATTCACCTCTAATTTTTCTCCCTATTATTACAAGAGTTAAAAGTTAAGAAAAGTGGCAAAGATGCATATGCTTTCTTTGCTCTCCCTCTTAGCACATGGCCACAAAACAAATGGAGACTGTCAAGGATATCTATGTTTATTTTGCCCTACATGGTCCATTTCCAGAGGCTTTTCCTTTAGGAGGAGATTGAGAAGGGCAAATACCTTACCATGTTACCAAGAATTAACCTAAGCATCTGATCATCAGCTTTAGAAGCATTCTCTGTAGAGGATAAATGGAAAGAGTATTTTATTGAGGGTCAGGAACCCTCTTCTCTGACACTGTCACTAAATAGCCACATTATGTGAGTGGACCAATTTAATATTGTGA